GTCAGGAAGGCCTCTGGAGGTTGGGGAAGGTAAAAACGGCCTACCCTGGCCCTCCAGAAATGGGGAAAACCAGCTGGCCGATGCGCGCATGTGCGCCGGAGCTGACAGCTGGTGTGCACCCAATAGGGCTCCCCGTGCCACCTGTGGGACGCATTAGGTATGCAGACCTAATACATATTTGGAACAGAAATAAGAAAACATATGTGATGGTTGCAAACGAAAGAGAGAATGCTCCAACCTGCAGGGCAATGCAGACCAAAAGACCACGATAATATCAACAAGATGAAACAGAGACCATGACAGGTCTCAGCATTGCACATAAATCCATGGGGGGCAGAACCTGTGTGGCAATGCTCATTTTTGTCCCTCGTCCTCATGAACTCAGCTAACGTTGGTCAGTGGCCACCGTGCTTGGGACAGTCACCACCATCATGAATGCCTCACAGGGAACGTCAATGAACGAGGCCCCTGCTGTACCTTCTTCGGGCTCCCTCCCTTTCGTGCCTCATGTCTTTTTTCCTCCCCTGCCTCTTAGGAAGAGAGAAAGGTTCCTCCGCCTGTACCAAAGAAGCCCCCTAAAGGAAAATTCCCCATCACCCGAGAGAAGTCTCTGGATCTGCCCGACCGACAGCGCCAAGAAGCTCGAAGGCGCCTCATGGCTGCTAAGCGGGCAGCCTCTTTCCGGCAAAACTCCGCTACGGAGCGTGCAGACAGCATTGAGATCTATATTCCAGAAGCCCAGACGAGGCTTTAGAGAGACCCAGATGCTGCACCGTCTCTTCCTCTTTTTTAAACAAAGGACGGAACCAGGCAAGTCCTTGTACAGCTGGTCTCCTCTCCCCTGCTCTTTCCCCCCTCCCTGCCCTGTTGTCGTTGTCTCCTTTGTGCCAGACACACAACAGGATGCGGTTTGTGTCCTCAGAATTTGCTGAGCCCCTTTGCAAGAATCCTCCCTGCTCTTTTCTTTTTTGTATTGTTAGGATCGGACTACGCCAGTCAGCTCCAACGCATAGGGCTTGTTGAGACCTTACTTATAAAAATTACGTTCTCAGAGGACAACAGGAAACACCTCTTGAGATGGAACCCAGCTTACTTTTTTGGTTATTTATATTTTTATAAATGATGCGATAACTAGGAATAAGAAAACAAAAACACAAACTTTGAATTGGGTGCATCTCTCCATTCACCAGAGGCATTAGCTAATTCAAGTAGAAGGTGCTACAAATGGAAAGTGCAAGACAAGAAGGGATCCATTTCTCTCCTCCTTCCCCTTCCCTTCCCGCTTCAGTTTCTTTGCCTTGAACCCGGTTAGAATTTCCTGCCCCTCGTGCTCGGCAATTCTGCTTCTCTTGGTTACTCCGGACTCGCACCGGGTCTCTCCTCCCCTCTCACACTTTGAGTTTTTGGAGATGAACAGAAATATCCAGCCATGAAAACTCCAACGTCCATCCCGAACAGAGAAGCATAGGAACCATTTCCCATGGGGAAAAAATCTCTCCCCGAAAGAAATCCGAAGGAAAAACTGCAAAGGAACTTGAAGAAAGAGGAACAAAGGAAAGCCTTAAGAATTTCGATCATCTGTAGCAAGATGTGAAAGCTCTATTTACTCTTGGAGAACATTCATTGCATTTTAAGCAGTTCTTTTTATGTTGTACTTCTTTCATTTGTGAACACTCTTTTTTTTTTTTTACTTAAATTTGAAAAGCGATGCTACGCGTAATATCTGAAGTTTCAAAATGCTAGGTCAATTGAGTTTCCAGGGTATCCTTTCAGAACAAAAAAAACAAAACTCAAAAAAAGTTTGCTTGTTTAAAATACCAGTTGTGATGTTGTAACCAGTTTAAGAAATATGAATGTGAGTGGTAAGTATATCTCAGTTTCAATGGTAATCTTAAGGTTTTTTAAAAAAAAAAAGGTGAACTGTGGTTTACATTTGTATTTATTTTTTTCCAGGAATTTTTTTTTTCCCTATGAATTAAAGATAAGAAAAAGTTTCTTGATTGTTTCGGACATAAAGAACATGTTTTAAAAGACATGTGGCTTCTAGCAGTAGAATGTAAGAAAGGTAGACTGTTTCTGAGCTAATTGATCAACATCACAGCAAAAGCTAGAAATTACACAGAAGTTTAACAAATTCTGAGAACGATGCGTCATTGTTTTTGCCTTCTCAAAGGCTGCGATCCAAGCTTTTGAATCTTTTCAGGTGAAGATACAAAAAAAAAAAAAAAAAAAACCATATCCCGCCGCTACTGAAGTCAGAATTCCGAGTCATACAAAATATTAGAACAGAGTCAAGTTTCTGTTATCAGTCTGTTAAGCAAAATGTATTTAGCCATAGACAGAACCGCTATTTAAACTAGCCTACAGCACTTTGATTCTTCACCTTGGTGAGCACTTTAAATATGTACTTTGCGGGCCCTTCAGCTTGTCACAGGACTGAAAAATGCAAGGCATTTTAACAGCAATCTCCAACCAGGTGCCCTCCGCAGATGTTGAACTACGTCTCCCATCATGCTAGTTTGCATGAACAATAGCAGTGTTATATAAGAATTGCACAAAACGATGGGGAAGTTTAGTCCTAGTGTATCTCAAGCGCAGATGTTGGAGATTGCTGTTGTAGGAAGCAGAGAAGACAGAAGGGTTCCCATCCCTCATCCCCCCTTCTTCCGATATATTTTGTTAAGCATGCATTCTGTTTTAGGGCAAAGCTGATATAAGCATGTTTAGCTTCAAGATACGAATCTTTAGAGTTGAATGTTTGAGAAGGAGGGNTATTTATTTAATTTGTATCCCATACAACTCAAGATGAGGCACACACCCTTCTATCTTTCCCCACAACAGAACTCCTGAGTAGGTTGGACTGAGACAGCGCAGCAACTGACCCAAAGTCAGTTTGCTTTGTAGCTGAATACTACACACATTCATACAGAAGCCAAATCATATTTTGTCTAGCACAGTGTGTGAATCCAGCTCATATATTTTAATTCACTGCATCATGCAAATGGATATTAGAATAGCTGGGGGAAAAAACCACGACTTTTCTGTAATGGGTGAAGCAACATTAGATCACTCTGAAATTCTTCAGACTTAGAAATACAATTAGGAAATACCTCCCTCCCAGTAAAAAAGAAGGCTGTTCTTAACATCATGGTTCACCCTTAAATCCATCTTTAAAAGGTCCTCTGCTTTCTGTATTGTCTGTAAGGAAATCAAGTTTTTTTAAAATAACGTCTGCCTTGAAACACAAGGAAGGATTAGGATTAACCCCCCCCCACCCCCTACAAGGCTTAATCGCAGCCCTGGTGGCACCTCGCGATTTTCTCCCTGCCAGCCTATCCACTTAGCAACTCTTAAGGAAGCAGCCACGCCAGGACCCACTTCTCAAAGGAACTTTTGTTTCCTTGATACCTTGTATACCAGGTATCTCCACTGCCTCCTGTCATTTACTCCGGGACGGCTCCTTCGTGCAGCCGAACAGTTTGAAGCGTACTAAATGCCCATAATGCACCCAACGTCAAACTGGGCAATACTACCGGTATTCACATTTTAGCCTACGTGATGCACAAAGCCAAGCAGCGAAGGGATAAGCGGGGCAGCTTCCATGCCCCTCCACAAAGGGGTCAAATAAGATCCTTGCTCCTCTCTCACCTACCGGACTCCCTGACTAGCCGCCGAGTGCTGGCAAAGGTGGATCCGAATTTCCTTGAGATTCTGGGCAAGGCTGCCCCCAACAGCTCGGACGATTGCGGCGGCCGCCATGGTGACCGCCAGCCACAGAGGTCCCGCGGGAAGTGGGCGTTGCTGTAGCCAATCCAGTGCTTGGAAGAAGACCGCCACTTAATGACGCAACCAGGATAAGCAGCGCGCGAGGAGTTATGGGTAATAAACATATAGTTCCCTGCTTCCGCTTATAAATCTATAACAGTTTGAAGAAATACAAAACTCATATATATATATATATAATATATATATATATAATTTAAAGCTGTATCTGACTGCCCAAGTTCTGGACTGAAAACTGAAAACTAGAATCATAGGACTGGAAGGGACCTTGGAGGTCTTCATCCCTCGAGGTTTGTAAGAAAAGACTGGACAGCCACCTATCTGAAATGATGTAGGGTCTCCTGCTTGAGCAAGGGGTTGAACTAGGAAACCTCCAAGATCCATTCCAGATTTTAGCTCTATTCTGATTAATTGATCTTCTAGTGGACATCCCTGGCCAAGGCAGGAAATTGCCTTGCAAACCGATTGCAAACCGAAAAAATGGCTGTCCAATCTTTTGTTGAAGACTAAAGCACCCACAACCTCAGGAGGCAAGCCATTACACTGATTAATTGGTTTCACTGTCAGGAAATTTCTCCTTAGTTCCAGTTTGGATCTCTTTCTTACTAGCTTCCACCTGTAGGAAGTTATCACCCAGTCCTCTCCCAGAAAAATGAAATATTCTAGGAAATATTGAAAAGGCAGAATATTTTTCTGGATGTGAAAAGAAAGAAACGTGTTTTAANACCTATGGTACATTATTTATTTTAGGCAATAAAAATATGTTTTTGCAAATGTCTTGTAGCATTTCATTAATGGTGTAATTTTATATGATATGATACCCAACCTATGTTAATCTTTTCACTCTTTGTTCATACAAGTGTAAATTCCTCAGATTGAAAAAGAAATAATCCCCATCTTAAACACATTTTCCACCCTAATGTGAAACATCAACCTATAGGGCAATGTAGAATCTAGGTTTTGTACTCTGTTACCATTCTGACATTAATCAAATGTTAATAGAATGTTATTTTTTAATGTTCATCATGTAAAACAAGATATGCAAGTCTGAATTCTCAAAACCTATCCTTACCTTTATCCTTTTTCTTGAGCTTTTTATTTCGAGTGCCTTGCCTCAGATAGGAAAGAATCTGCGTCAGTTTACTAATTACAATGTCATTTGTAGTCAATGTGGTCTGGGCCTAGAAGGATAAATCACAGGAATCACTACTCTGATAGCTCATGTATAATGCTTGTAAAACATTATCACAGCAATTAAGTCAATTACCTCCATGGTTGGACAATCAGCCTTACTTCTAATCAAAGTTGTGGGAATATCTGTGTCAGCATACTCATCATCAAGATCCACCACATAAGCCATTCGCCCTGGCAGGAAGAGCTCATTCCGCTCATATGCCTTGTTCCTGAATAGCATCCGATAGATGTTACGGCCTAGCAAAAAAGAGGATTCATGAATGTGCCACTATTCACACAATATATTAAGCTAAACAAGCCACAGTATGTTTTTATGATATTGTCAGAACTAGAACCAAGACACTGCAGCCATTGCTCCAATAAGCCATTCTTCAAAGCACATAGACCCAAGCCTAGAAAAAGATATATACTTTCACCCTCAGGTTATTTAAGAACTCAGAGAAACAGAATAAGTTGCTCACAGTAAAATGTTCATAACATCTTATTCTAGATAAAATATACATATATAACTGTTGGGACTAAGATCAAGGTGATCCAAGTTCATTCTCAAACACAGAAGTTCATTGGGTGACTGGATGAGTCACCCTCTCACCCAGACCTACAACACAGGGTTGCTGTTGGACAGGGCAAAAAATGGAAGGAAGGCATTATATATGTTACCACAAGCATCTGGAGAAAAAAATAGAATGTAAGTCTAATAAATAAAATGTTTGAATAACCTTACCCAAGCGAGTCTTGAATTCAATTTTATTTTCTGGATCTTCATCCTTCCTAGAAAGGAAGCAATGAAATACACATGAGTAGCTGGGCTACTATTTTTTCAGCCCAAAATCTCATAGGTCAGAACTCTCTTATCCCTACTTACTTAGTTTCTTTTTGAGGCTTTTCCATTAATTCTTCTTCCTCTTTTTCTTTGCTGGCAATCTCTGCCCGTACCTGAATAGAAATATATTTTCTTTAAAATGGTATGATGTTATGAACATAGATTCCCAGTAGATTAAATAGGAACAAACTGCTGGCTCCCAACAGGTCTTCAGCACTGTTTATAGATCTGAATCCACCATTTTCCACTACCATCAGGCTGCTCAGCCACCATTGTTTTTCCGCTGTTACGAGCAGCAGGGAAAAAAACTTCTTAACTTATTAGGAAGTTTAAAACATCTCCCTGCATAATAGCCTTGTACAAAAGTACTATTTACTTACTGTTATTAACAACCAAGAAAAAGCATTATTCCATGCTCTCAGGATTGCTGAGGCAGGGAAGGTTAAGAAGAGGGGGAGAAGTAGGTAGTGGCAAATGGAAAAAAGGTTATTTAGATGTTTAATGCAGATATTTCATACATGAAATTTATATATTCTATGCAAAATATGTAATTGACATAATATACTTTAGTAGTAACCACTGAAAAATAGTGGCTTGAAAGCCCTGAACAAATTCTCAGATGCTTCTTGATTTCAACCAATTTCTGCAATTATACAATTGGGGAAAAGAAGCATTACAATCCAAGATGGGAAAAATTACAAAAAAACCTCCAACCCCTTAGAAATATGGAACATTTTTAGGCAGAGCAGCAGCACAAATAAGGGCAAAAACTTGCTTAAAATGTGAATTGTTATGCACTGTTGCATTTTCTGGCTCACCTTTTGCAACAAAGCAAAATCAAGACCCTTCACCAAGTGAGTGTGTTCCATGTCACCACCCAAGAATTTGGACTCCTGAATCAATTGCCGCCTCTTTTCTGCCGCTGATTTATCCCTAGTACAACAAAAATAAATGGTTTAAGGTAAGCACTACATTCTACTCCCAGCCAGAATGGCAGTAACTGTGACTGTACTCACGCTTCTGCAGTGGGTCCTACTGCCCTGTAATTGGCAGTTGTACTGATTAGTTCTGTTTCTTCATAATCTTTGTTCACACCATCACGTCTTTCCTTGGCACGGTCTCTGTATTTCTCAGCCAATTCCCTCTCTCGCTCAATCTCTTGCTGGCGTAGTTTTGCATAATAGCTGACATTTTAAAAAAGAAAAAAAGGCCAAAATAAATTAAGGAAACAAAACACAGTATTCTAAGAATACTTTTTTAAAACCAGTAATGCTGATTGCCCCTGTCCTTTGTTTCATTGTTAACCTAGACCTACATTAGTCATACAAAGAAATAACTTATATATTGTATGATTCATATTTATATTAAATACTAAGAGAAGCAAAATTATTATCTCCATTTATCCAGCAATATGATTCTTCCTTCAGTTCAAAAATGCATCAATCTCTATTACCTTTTTTTCTTTCTCCTGCGTGCAGCTGGATCTTCATCTTCATTGTACTCTTTGGGCATTCTAAAAAGAACAAGAATAAAAATGTTCATAATATTCAATGATTAAACTGCAATAAAATGTAAACTCTTAATTTTAAAATATTAGCAATAATGAAGTTTTCCTCTTTATTCACCTCAGAGGAAACCATAAATGCCTTCAGGAAAAATGCTTTCAAAATAATAACATCATCATGTAAGCAGTTTATAGAAAGTAATAAATCTTAATTTTCAGGATTCCTACATGGATAAAATGTACATGACATTCTCTGAAAAACATTACTATTTTTTTGCAAATTCTATTTATTCAAGTAGCCTAATCTTGATTTTAGCATTTATTGTGTGCGTATTTCAATTATTTTGATATATAGGTTACGCATGTATTTATTTTATAGATAATATGAGATTAAATTAGAACTAGTATAAGTTAGATGCATCAGGTAAAATGTATTTGGTAAAATGTATTTGGTAAATACATTTTTGATAAAAAGTACAAAAATTGCATGCTTACTCATGATGGCGAGATTTTGAAGGTGGTGCAGATGTTGGTGTTGCCCGTGGAGTCATAAGAAGCTTACGAAAGTCTTCATTGGTCAATTTAGACCTATCACAAAAACAATTGCTTAAAGAAGTGCATAAAAACAGAATAAGTAACTACTGACTATAATTATTCATTAAATTTGTATGCCACCTGACTCCAAATGACTCTGAAAAAGTTAAGAGAAATTAAAGCATTTGAAATACTGCAAAAATATGCAACACATAGTATATAATTTATTAAAAAAGAAAAACTAAATGATCCTATACAATATTCATTTACTACACCCATACACTGTATATAGATTTGCCACAATCCCTTGTAGTGAGAAAATTACGTTGTGATGTTTTTTGATTTGCTCACTGATTATACCCTGAAAATTGGTCAGAAAAACCAGAAAGATATAGAAAAAATCAAAATGTTACAGTTCCAAAGCATAATACATTATTGCACTCTTATTGTTTCCTTGGTCGGGTGGTATTTTATTTCATTATCAAAAGTACACTAGAAAAAATGCCATTATTCTCCAACCTTCCCTTTTTGAGGAAGGTGATTGAGAAGGTGGTCGTGCAGCTACTCCAGAGATTTCTGGATAAAACAGATTATCTAGACCCCTACCAATCAGAATTCAGACCTGGATTTGAGACAGAAATGCACTTTTGGATGATCTTTGGTGGGAGCGGGATGGGGGTAGTGCATCCATCCTTGCTCTACTTGACCTCACAGCGGCTTTCGATACCACCAACCATGATATTCTCCTGGGGCGGCTTCAGGGGAATGGGAGGCCTTGTACTATCCTGGTTCACTTCCTTCCTCTGTGGCCGCTCTCAGTCAGTGTTGATAGGAGGGGGGAGATCCAGACCTTGCCCACTGCTTTATGGGATTCCGCAGGGCTCAGGGCTCTCTCCACTCCTGTTCAACATTTATATAAAGCCATTGGGTGAGATCATCTGTCACCATGGACTGAGGTATCCTCAATATCTTGATGATACTCAGCTGTATGTCTCGGCCCATGGTGAATTAAGTGATGCCGTATCCTCACTCTCACAGTACCTAGAGGCTGTTAGGGACTGGATGGAGAGCAACAGGTTGAAACGAAACCTTTGCAAGACCAAGTGGCTCTAGGTTTGTTGTTCATTAGCTCAGGGAAAATTGCCACCTTTGGTCTTGGATGGGGTGGCACTACCCCAAACAGACTCTGTGCGTAATCTAGGGGTTTTCCTGGACTCATGACGGTTGTGGCCAAGAGGGCCTTTGCACAACTGCAAGGTGTGTGCTAGTTACCCCCTTTCCTGGATCAACAGTCCCTAATCACAGTCACTCATGCCAGTGTGGGTTTCCAATTTTTTTTATTACCAATTCCAGCGCGCTCATGCTGCTTCTGCGCATGCAAAGAAGCATCCGGGCGGGTAGGAGGAGCCTCCCATCGCTGCTACTACCAGTTTG